GGGACTAAGTGGCTTCGGTCATCCGAGCTGTCACGAAGTACTTTGCAGGCGACTCCCACGACTTGCCTCGGTTGAAGTCCAGCAACTCGTCAAGTTCTGCCAACAGTCAAAAAAAAGGTTGTCATCGCCATTGCTTACCTGCTTTAGTAACTGGCCGGTTACTAACATATTCCAATCTGAAAGTTTGTTTTAGAACAGCGATTGAAAAATCTCTAAGAGGATCCACCATTTGTATCTTTACGGATAGCCAATTCAGGCTCTCTTCTCACAAAAGAAAACCTCGAAATTGTAGTAGACCGTTAGTACTCTCTCCAGTAGTATTCGACCTACGAAAAGGTAACACCTATATGGATTGGAGCAGGTTCCATTTGAATTGGTACAGAGAGCTTTCGTGGAATCCCATTTGTCAGGGAATCACAAAACCTCTGGTAAACTAGCAAGGGACTCTGATGACAAAACCGCCCTGTGATCTTCCGCTTATAAGCTAGCGGAACAAAAATTGTTTGAAGAGACAACTAAATACTGCTATCTGACTGAGAACACACAGTCAAATATCAGCTTCCCAAAATGTGCTTCTTTCCCTGACGAAGAATGTAGGCGAAACAACTAAGCATATTCTCTGTGGATCAATCTCTAAATCAATCTAACATCAGCTTTCGGACGTGTTATTTGACATATACATATAGCTCTCGGACGTGTTATTTGACATATACAGCTTATGTGAATGGTGAAGACTTAACCAGCTACCAATGAACTTAGCAAAATGCTATCATATCACATTTAGCATTTCTATGCCTTTCTTTCATCCCACACCATTAATGGACAAGAACTTTCTTGTAAATCTGAAGCTTTAAACGTAATTTTCGATTTTAAATTCATATTCGTTCGGCATATCAACTATATTATGCCTAAGGCCCATGCGATGTTTGGGTTTGCTAGACGCAAATCTACCCAGTTTAAGGGCCCGTTCACGAGACAGTTCTCATACTCACCCTTTGTCCGGTCAATATTAGAGTACGCCTTTAATATCTAAATCCCATCTGCGAAAAGCAGTTTTTAAAAAGTAAATTGCAATGCCAGAGCTTTAGTGTCGTTTACCACATTTACCACACTAAAGAAAGAAGAGTGATATCAGCACTGCTTTTTTAATACAACTTTATTGTAGGAATTACTGAATGCCAGACCTTCTTGCACGTGAAAATTATTTTTTTTTATTTAAATTTCCAAAAAGAACCTTTCGGGTTCTGTTACTCAGATATCCAGAAATCCTATACAGAAGATTAACAGCAACGAGAAGTCTCGTGAAATATGAAGGAATGGTTACCTTACCTAAACTAGTATAGATTGCGTCAATCTACATTTTTTTTCTTTAACCCTTCAATTACTAGAAAAGTAGGGCCAAGGAGGTTAGTAGTTACAGATCTAAGCCTCACAAGCACTTGCTAAAATGCTGAAATAATAGAATAATTTAATCAAGTTGTCGACCTCATATAACTGTCTTTCTATGAAGAAGAATGATAAACTATTCAACAGAATATCATATTTCACAGGCAGATACACTTCCGGATCAGCATATGCGCTTATATTTGCACACTTCATTCGTTATAATTTATTATAATTATTATATTACTTTGAAATTAAGAGAGCCAACTGTATAGGTAATCTGATGATTTCTTAATTTTTTTATGACATATCTTAATCTTCGTAAGAAAGAGGGAGCACAAACATCAAAAATCGACTTTAGAAAATCATAAAAAAATTGAATGTCATACAATTGGCTACAATCAACTTGCAGAATAAGAACGTTAAGCTCAAAAAAGCAGCCCTACGAAAACAATAGATTCGATCGGCTGATATCGTTTTCTTTATAGGTACACGGGTAGGTAGACCAATGACCAGGTTCAAGTAAGATAAAAGGGGCCTTCAGGGCGTCCAACACTGTCACATGAAGCCTGCCTTTAAACTTATAGAAGGCAACCATAAGGTTGACTTCATTCGAATTAAAAACCAATTAACCAACTCAGTAGGAGTGGATAAGAACGACCAAGAGGTAATTTTTAGAACGTGGAGAGGAGATGAAATGAAAAGCAAAAAGATATCTTAGATAAAACCGGACAGTGGGGGAATATACGAACATATAAATAAACATGTAACAGCCCATGGTAAATAGAATTGTAACCACATCGCAAGCTTCGGTCGAAATATTTAATGATATTTTTCTCGTTCACTCGGTAGCTTATGAAAAAATATAATCGATGGTGAAAAAATGTACAATGCTCGTATTTTACAAAAGTTACTTCCTGCAGAATTGACTTTTGAAACTACGAACTCAATCTCTAAGAGGGAAGGCTTAATCAGCTCAACGCAGCAGAAGAATAGATAATACAAGTCTTAGTAATAGAGATAATATCAAAATCTAAACAAGAAAATTGATATAAAGGTTGGAGAGCTTAGATTAAAATTAAAATTTTGATAGGTAACCACAAGAATTTATTGTGTTAAGCATCAACAGAATTTGAGGCTTGTCCGCTTTTCTGGCTTGCCCGCTGCCGTCTCTAATTCTAAAAGATCCAGCTATGATCCCGTCCCTATAAAATATTGCAGCGTTAAATATGTCTTTAATCATGGTACAAAAATATTAATTTCTTATTGTATGCACTCATTAAACGTATTCAACGTTCATTTAGAGAGTTACCTAATATTTAGAAAAAAAACCGTTCTCAAGTAGGCAATATTTAAAAGTAGGAATGTCGGGATTTGCTCTTATTGTATAAATTTATTTCATTTCATTCTTACTTTCTTAATTTTTTTACCGTTAACCCATTGAGAGTGGATTAAAAGGTTATAGGGCTTTTTTCTGAACGTATGTCATAGCAGAAGGAAGCACCACCGATGCAATGAATCATAATATTCTTGATCAGGACGACAAGTTGAGGGGATCAAGTCTTTCTATACATCTGTCCATCTGTAGAACGAGCTTATCCATTTTTCGATACCTCCACCCACATTTCAATTATTGCAAAAAAACGATTTTGAGGCCGGTGTTATATTTACAATAAGCAAAGCAGACCGTTATTAAAAAAATCAATAAAAACTTTAAGAACCTTTTAATGAATCAATTAAATTGAGAAAAAAAAAACATGTAATAGGCTCAAGTCGGGAGCTCCCGACTAGGGAATACCCTGAACCCTCTTTTACCAACACCAAATGAAGCTCGCGCTACGTACTCGTTTGCCTCAGCAGTACTAAAAATAAATCAGAAAGAAAAATAGTTTTCTCGATAGGAATCGAACTCGAAAGTGACCGCACTATTTGCAACTGCCTCTACTCAACAGCCACACCAACAATTGACTTTTAGCGAGAAAGTGACGGATTAAAATAGCAGCACAGAAAACAATGCAATCGCAATTTCAATGCTGTCGATAGAATTCAAAGAAGAGGCGCATGAATGTGTGTTTACATGTATACAGAAATTCTTGGAATTTCCGCTTACTGCCGCTGATACGAGGAAAGCCAAAACACATTTTCTCTTATAACTACTGTGTTTCTTTACCGATCTTGATGAAATTTTCAATAGTAGATCTTGTTGTACTATAGAATATTGTATATTCTCAAAAAGTCAATTGCATTAAAATTCTGGCTTGAATTGGGGGGCAATACAAGTTGGTCTATTGATTTACCCATTTTTAATGGGTTCAGGGTACGAAAACAAGTAGTAGTGCTCTAGAGGGGAGTGCCCAACTAAGAAATATCCTGATCGTTCTTCTACTACAACCCAACGGAGCTTTGTACGGGTCGGAGATGACTCCTTCTGCCAGTAACATACACTTTCACAAAACCCATATACAATTTTTAACAAAACCATTATACCTTTCTACCACGCACGTCGGTTCCTGCAGATTTGATTCTTCTTCCCTTAGCTCCCACTTTATTTTTTTTTTTTTTTTTGTTTATTGTATTGCATCAAGAATAGCATACATTTTTATTACAACACAGTTGGCTTAAGTGATATTACGCCAAGCCTGGTTGAGTCCTCAGGCTTTATCGTGGACAAACGTCAAAGGCGGTTTTTTTGAGTAAGGCTGCATCGTCACGTAGGTAGTCGGGGGACTCTGGGGCGTCTTCTATGTCGTGGTTGGAGTAGGTCCTTGAACGGCTTTCTCTTCAGCCTCCTGACTACACACCTCCCAGCGAGGTCTCTTGCTACCCGGCTGCAGTTTCGCTGCAAGCGTTCGTTGTACCGGATGGCGAATGCTCCGACTTGGCTGTCTATGGTCTCCATTTTGAGGTCTCTGTGCAAGGTAGAATTTCTGACGTACCAGTGGTACGTGTCTGAATCCGTCTTCGATTTGTCCGAGATGCAATGCCCCAAACCTGAATACCTGGGCACCGTCAGTGGCTTCATACTCGCAGTGGGCGGAGTAAAATATTGCCACGTCATCGGCAAATGTGGCCATCAAGTATTTGCCTGGGGTGGCAAACTCGTGTAGTTCATCCGGAGTGGGGATGTCTGCCGTGTACAAGTTGTAGAGAAAGGGGCCCAGTACACTGCCTTGGGCGACACCCGCCTTCATTTTGCGGGCAGGAGAGATTGCTGCTCTAACTTTGACTTCGAACTTTCGCTTCATTAGATAAGAGCGCAGAAGTAGAAAGAAGGGGGCGGGAAGACTCATCTTGATTTTCTGGAGCAATCCATCAATCCAGACTCGGTCGAAGGCCTGCTTAACGTCTACAAAGACTCCATAGCAGTAGTCTTTGTCGTCGTAAGCCTTAAGAATATGGTTAATCACTCTGTGAACCTGTTCAACAGCGCCATGCCCTCCCCTGAATCCAAATTGGTGATCAGGAAGGATGGCCATGTGATCCATAAGCCTTGAAAGTCGGGTGACAATCAGCGTTCCCAGACCTTCGACAAGGAAGGCAGGACACTGATCGGCCGATATGATTCAGGGTCATATTCCGGCTTGCCCGATTTATGGATCATATGGATCCTCGCTAACTTCCACTGGGCAGGGAAGTGTTGCGTCCTTAATATGGCGTTGAAGATCAACGTTATAAAAAGGAGCGCGCGCATTGGTAGGGCCTTCAGAATAGTGTGGCATATTTCATCATGGCCCGGTGCTTTAGCCCTGGGAAGGACTTTGACGACGTTGATCACCTCCTCCACGCCGATAGGTGGTGACATCTGTAGCGGTGTCTCCAACGCTCGGGTTGTTTCATCGAGCTCTTCTGGGGAGGGCAGATCGAAAGGTGTAAACCGTTCCTCCAGGTGGCTGGCGAAGTTATCAGCTTGCTCTTCGTCTGTAAGGCAGTATTTACCATTGTGGCGAAGAAGGGGAACGGTTCTCCAGGGTTGGCGATTCAGGTTTTTAGTTGCTTGCCAGAGCGAGTATCCTGAGTCATGGGTATAGTCCATGCTCTCCAACCTTCTAGAGAAGGATGCGTCTTTGTGTCTGCGAAGGGCCTCCTTGAGTTGCCGCTCCGCTCTTCGCCACTTCGCCTTGTCCCACCGATGCTGTGTCGTCTGGAACCTGCGTCTGCTCCGCCTTTTGATCCTGAGCAGGTTGGCTATGTCTGCGGGCAGCCCGTTGCCAGCATTGTCCAGTCGCCTGGCAACTGGTGGGGTGTGGCTTCGGCTGCTGCTGCGCGAATCTTTGCGTTAAGCAGCTCGATGGCGTCCTCTACATCCCGTCCAGTGCAGATTTCGGTGTTGAGGTGAATACTTTCACTCATCTGTCTCTGGAAGACACCGAGATCAGTGCGTGCGTTGATCAGCCTCGGTATTGCGCTAACCACCCTGGCCCTGCTCTCCACAGTAACTATCAGGGCCAGGTGGTCGCTGGGGAGATCCCAATCGTCAGCGATTGAGAGGCACTGGTCAGGGATCCCCAGGTAGATGGCGAAGTCTATACAAGACGGAGTGCCTCTGCTGCCGTACGGGTATCTTGTGGGAGAGCCTGTGGCCAGTACTTTCGCTTGACGATGCGCTAAGCTGCTAGCTAGTTGAAGGCCGCGCGCATTGCTGTTATTTGCGCCCCACAGCCAGTGATGTGCATTCCAGTCGCCTCCCACCAGATATCTGCTTCCAGCCGAGTTAAGTATGACGTTGAAGTCGTCAGTCGACGACTGCTCATTTGGTCTGCAAAAGACTGCTCCAAAGTCCACGTTACCAGCATCAGTGGAAACTTTCACAGTCGAGTATTGGTAAACACGGTTAGTAATACTCAATTGCGGGAATGAACCGAGTTACTCCGGACGAGGACAGCGCAGCCACCGCTAGCTGAGCGATTTTGAGTCCAGTGTACAGGGTATGCCTCGAAGCCAAAGATTTTAGGAAAAGTTGGACCGTTGGTTCTAGTTTCTGACAGCAGAATTATTCCGATTGCGTGTTTTTGTACTAGGGCCTCCAGCTCTGCAAGTTGATGAAGTGGATGTTCATGGACTCCTTGGTAGCTTTGCTGCTCGGATTGTGCACGTGGAGAACGGTATGGCCCTGGGTCCGCAGGTCATCGATGAGTTCTCGGTTGAGTGTGCAGTGGTGGAGGCCTTTGATTACTATGCGGTAGGGCTTCTCCTCCTGCAGCTGGTATGAGTATAACTCAATTTTGTGTTCATCCAGTATCTGTATGATGGTCCTGTATGTGGGCACATCATTGGCTAGGAGTCGCATAGTCCTACCTAGGTTGGATTTGATGGTCAAGTTATCCGCTACTTCGGATAGTAGGAGCCACACGTCGTTGATATCGTCGATGCGATTTGCGACGATGGGGGGTGGCTTCTTTCCTCCAGTGGGGACATTGTTGTTGGCCCTTATTTCGGGCACGGAGGAGCTGGTGCTGAGGCAAGCAAGTTCTCTTCTTGCTCGGCCTCAGATTCGTCAGTATCCATGTCTTCGACGTAATCGGGTGGGGCCAAGCGTGCATATCTATTGGAAGCATGAGTGCCATCTGGACTGGTGTCAGTTTTGTTCAGTTTTCGCCGCGCGGCAGGTGGGGTCCTGCTGTCTGAGACTTTGCGCTTATCATTTATTTTTTCCGCCTGTGCTTGAATCATTCGAGCCACGTCTGCGGCGTGCGAATTGGGTTTGATGATATCTATTATACGCACTAGGGCGTCAACGTCTCTATTTGCACTAGCTCCAGCATGTGGGCTGCTGCCGGGGTTTTCGGATTCCATTAGAGGGTAGGAAGGGGAAACTGAAGTACTTCTTCCAGACATCAGCGCGGAGAATTTATTAGCAAATGGTGCTGAGCGGCTGTTAAGCATTGAGGTGCTCGGCGGCGTAGCGGTGTCAGCATTTAGTTGGCCTACCTCATTCGTTCGAGACGGCCCCTTGTTATTAATTGTGGGTGCATTGCTGTTGTCAGCACTCACTGGCATGGATGCTCTATTGGCGTTGCCGCTGGATTGGTGCATGTCAGCACGGCAACGCAGCCGACTTGCTCAATTTGTGACCACCTTTTTTTGTGTTTGATTTTGTTTCGATCCACCTAAAACAAATCGCTGTGTCAGCAATTAGTTTTTTTTTCAATTTTTGTCGTTTTTGTTAAATTATTAGTGCTTTGCATTCTTTATGCAGAGTTGCAAAAGCCGCTTTGGCCGTTTGGGCGCGCACTCGAGTTTTGGGTTATAATTGTTTTCCGCGAGCTCGACCGTTCACCTTAAACACCAAAAATTGACTTTGCTCCCACTTTAGGAAACGCTTTCTTGAAAATGCTCAGCGTTGAGGAACGGATCCGTTCAAAATCAAACTATAATTTTCTTCTTCTTTTTCATTGGCATTCTTGCTCAGCATGGTAGATAATTATGTATACATATACTTTGCAACATTATCTGCGCAAAATTGTGAAATTCAATTCAATTCAACTATTAGGTTCATCTCTTTTTATCACAAATCGCATAAATTTGGTTTGCATAAGAGTAGTAGTAAATTGACGGCAGATCATTAGGGAAGCGCCCATGGCGTACGTTTTGGTCCTTCGAGCCGGATCTGCCATAATCTATTACTCTGAAGATAAGTAGTTCATAATGGAGCAACTTAAACAGCACGCACAAACCAGGAGCAGATTAAAGTCCTAAACGCTTGCTTCATTATGCTGAGCATCCCCCATCTGGATGCGGTTATGACGCCGTGAAGGCGATGCGTACGAGGCTCAACGCCGTTTGGATCGAGTCCGAGCGGATTGGCGATAACATGTGTCTGTATGATACAATTAAAGGGTATGCCGACCCCGTCAACGAAAATGAAGTATATGAGAACAAGTACTTGAAGACTCTGGCGCTCCTGCTTTCACTAAAGCGGGCACGCAATACAGAAAATACGGTATCAGAAACAACAATGAAGGTTGCTGAGCGGAATGCAATGGCAAACAAACAAGTAATTTCACAATTGGTACAAAAATAACAAGAATTCTTCGCGCAATTTCCGAGTGCGGCAACAACCACAACTTCGCACGCCGCACCTGCGATACCTTTACGAGAATAAGAGTTGCCAAAGTTGCAGATCAAATCTTTAGGTGGCGATTACAAGGAATGCCCAGCATTTAAGGTCTTGTTTGAAACCCCAATAAACAACATTTGCGAAAAAATTTTTACTAATGAATCAGCAAATTTGATACTTCTTTTGCCAATTACAGACGGGGCATATGATACTGCATGGTAACGCCTGGCTGAACGATATAACCGAGCACGTCATGTTAACTCCTTGCTGGAGGCCTTCGTGGAATTGCCCCACACGAAGAATTCCAGTGTAGCAATGTTTCGGAAGGTAACAGATGATGCAAACGAAATTGTACGCGGACTAGATACAATTGGGCAAACAGGACGCACATGCTGGATAACGTATATACTGCTTGTAAAAATAGATCCAGAGTCAAGACGCAAATGGGTGGAGATCATTCAAGATACCATGTCTCCAACAATAGATGATCTGTTTCAATTCCTCGAGCCAAAGGAACTTTAGAACTTTAGAAGTGGAAGTTGCTGCATGTGACAACAATGACAAAACGAAGAAAGCGACACGCAACTTTGTGGCCACTAAGCAAGGTGCGTGTGTAAAATGTTGAACTAAACATTTGCCATTCGGCTGCTCGCAATTTCCCAATATGTCTGTTGACCAACAACGCGCTTTCGTCAAAGGCAAATTATTATGTTTCAATTGCCTACAGCCCGGTCATATGTCAACGAAATGTGCAGCAAATTATTATTGTAAAAATTTCCGCGGCCGGCACCACACTCTAATACACGCAGAAGTTTCATCGTTACAGACTTATGCGAACCAATGTCAACCAATCGACGCTGCTGCTGACGAAGGTCAGGAGCAAAAGATATCACTCGTGGAAAAGAGCCACATACCACAAGCACCATGCGCAACATGTATTTCGTTACAAGGGCGAAATAAAGGCACTTTACCTATCGAGTGGGTAAACGTACGCAACGCACACGGTGCATACACAGCTGGTCGTGTGCTATTGGATAGTGGATCAGAACGTATCAGAACGCAGCATCCACGCACGGGGCATTGCACGTTCTCCATCTCGAATCTTAGTTTCGGGAATTACATCGGTAAGGGCTGAAACCAACCGGGGGTTTAGTAAGCTTTACTTGAAATCACGATTGTCAGACGACTCTCTTGACGCTCAGGTGCACCTCTAGGGGAAAATCACATCACAATTGACAAGGGATAAGATCGATACATCTGCACTGGAGATTTTTAATGATATTGCGCTTGCAGTTCCGATGTTCAACTCTACATCTCCAATAGACATTCTATCAGGCACAGACTATATGTGGGCTGTAATTACTGGCGAGAAGTTGCTAGAAAGCGATGGCAATGTAATTGCAATTTCGAAGGTATTTGGATGGGTGATCACTGCCATTACCATCTCGTGCATAGCAGCTGCTACTTCACTGCTTACTACTTTGACATTAACGCCTCATTCCAAAGATTCTGAGAGGCGCAGGACACCAATGCTGGGCTGCCACCAGATGCCGAGGATTTGAAGGTGGAGGAGCATTTTCGTGAAACACACTCAAGAGATTCCAAGGGGAAGAATATCGTCAAGCTTCCTTTCAAAATAGCGGATACTACCTTTGCAAACACCCAACAAGGAGCAACAACACGGTTTGAAGCTGTAGAACGTCGACTACTCAAAGATACAAACCTGCAACCATGCATGACGATGAGAGTTTAGGCCCCATGCGAGAACTCAAACCAGACGAGATACATACACACCAGGGTCGAGCTTTCTACATGCCACATCACCCGTTTTTGGGACAGAAGCTAAGAGTAGTGTTTGATG